ACGAGTATGTTTGGTGGGACTGGGATTCGAACCCACGACCCTCTGATTGCGAGTCGAGCACCCTAACCACCTGGCCATGCCGAGCTGGAGGTCAGTAGGAAGAAGCAAAGATAAAACATCGTGGTGTTTGTTCACGAACAAATTGCCATGTTAGACAGAATGGAGTTGATTAGTCTAACACTGTAATAATTGTTACAATTATTAAATTATTTTCTTTGAATAATGAAATCTAGCTTAGAAATATTTTTCAAAGTAGTTGGGAAGTCTTTTAATTGCTTATTCAAATAAATTGATGACTTAAGTTTGACCAATTTCACCTGTCAAGAAATGTATTGGTATTTTATATGATTTTAAGTAACATTTTTTAAATGTTAAAAAAATTTATACATGGAAAATCCTACAGGAACTTGAGTATAATTTTAAAAACTAATAAAGTTTCTCTCCCATATCTTTAAGTTATAGTCTAAACAAAAGATTTACTTTTTAAGAATCTAAATGAGAGCAAAAAATTTCAGACTTAAAATTTTACTAAAAATATATATACTTACATACTTACTATAAGGCATAATATAAAATATCAAATTAACCTTAAAAATATTATATACCTTCTTTTTATCCAACAGATTTTATTTTTTGGCAGAAAGTTTACAGCAGAAGGACATGTTAACCACAATGTACATACCCAGTCTGCTAATAAACTAAAAATAGCCAGTTACAATAGTTTTAACATGGTGACAAACAAACTGAAGTACTTATTTCATGCAGACTTTGGATAGCCTTAAAATGTTTACATGTATATTTATAGTTTTGACATTGAATCCTTTCATACAAACAATTCCTTGAAAAATTTCTATTATGTGTTTATCTTTGATATACATGTAGGAGACTAATGTGATAAATTTTCAAATTGTATTTGTATTTTATAATTTTAAGTAAGATCTGGTTGCACTTGTGTGTGTTACAAATTACACTTGATTCCTCATAGACAGTGTCACAGAATAAAGGAATAAAAATGTCAACCTTATATAACTAGCAAGAATATATCTTTATTTAGGTATATCCAGGTGATTTTTCTAAATTTTTTGTAGGAATTCTGCATAAAATTACTGACATCTTTCTAAATAAACTAGATAGGGACAGGTCATAAGCTTATACTAATCCTCTAGATCAGTGGTTTCCAAACTGTGGGGTACACCCACCCCCCCTGTGGGAGTGTGGCCTTTTGCCAGGAGAACCCAATAATAACAATGAAAGAAGCAGAAAAAACAAAGATGAGATAGACTAGGCTAATGAAATTAAAAATAATAACAAATAAAATTCAATCCCACCAGTAGACCAGTTGACAACCCTGTTTGGTAGTACTCCTTGTTACTAGGCTAGGGTATGGGTATTGTCCATGAGGAGGAGAGCCCTGAAAAAAGTAATGCTGAGTTGGGGGGCACCACTACATAAAGTTTGGAAACCACTACAACTGTTATATAAGGATATACATGTACATATGCTTGGATATGTTTCTTTGTCATGCTCCCTGGAGTGAGGGCATATTCATTTCAATGGGTGATACAGAGATTTGTGCAAGTTAGTATGAGTTTTATTTTCCTTTTATACATATATTAAAATAACTGTTGAAATAGGTCACCGAGTAAAGTGAGATATTACACTAAGACCTTGGTTTAAGTTGAAAATGTGATATCAAAATGATTCTTGCCTCTGTCTTTTTCTCATGTAGACAATTTGATATCCTACACTAGCAGCCATAGAACCTATAAAATGAACATTGAAGCAAGCAAGTATTGTTAAAGATCACAGCTTATTTCTTTCTGTCAGAGAATAAAAACTGTTTAATTTGTTCATTAAAGCTTGCTTGTTTTCCATTAGCTGACAGTGTCCGAGATCATTCTCTGCACAACATTTTTGAAAAATGATGTATTGTAGGTACTTACAAGTTTCTGGAAGAAATCAATGTATCTGAATATCACAACAACATTTGGGGCAAGTGTGAATGATTTAAAAAAAACAATATACTTACTTGTCACTTGTAATACCCAAAGTTTTTTCTATATGTTTATACAAAGCTGCAGAATGCTTCTTGTTCTCCTGTTTTCCTAGGGCTCCAATACTCATTAGTGTTGCTGAAGCACAGGGTTCATTCCCTCCTCCAAACGATATTAACTGATCAGGATTCACATGAACAATGACATACTAAGAAGTTAAAAAGAAAAAAGAAATATGGAAAGTTTTAAATACACCAATGAACATAAAATTTCAACATGTTTGAATTTTAATAAGAAATTAAGTTTAGGTTTCTTATGGTTTTAAGTTCCTATTGAAATCTAGTAACTTTGTATAAACATTATGATAAATTTACTGCCACAAATACCATAGTCAAGGTTACAAAACTTCAGATACCAGAATAATCAGACTTAATCATTATAGTCATGCCAAGCATAATCTGAGTGACAAATCTTAGTAGTATAACTTAGGGACAAACCAAAATAATAACTTGTCTTACAATACCATGCTGAAACCATATCTCAGTCAGTTGCACCATGCAACACACAAGTAAACTTTAATGTGTCAGTCCTGCACATGTTTAGCTGTAAAAGTGTTTATAACTAAACCTACAGCAAACATCTCAAAATGTTCTTGATTAAGTACAGCATAAGGTTATAATAAATAATTTATTCTACACTTAGAATAATTACAACATTAATATCAGGATTCATATGAGTATTTATTAGAGATTTCACAAGTTGAACATGATTAAACTCACAATCTGAAAATGCCAGGCCTAGTTTTTACAAATGACAACTGAACTCTAAACGTTTGACTCCACAATAGAGATGGGCAACTAACTTGATTAATCAATATAATCAATCATATATGAGCAGCAATTACATTGACCAGTGTCATATGAAATAATCAGTTAACTGAAATTAGAATTAAATCACCTGATTTTATGGAAAAAATTAAAATAGTGTCACAACTGACAAAAATAATCAAATATTCAAAATTAATGTTTCCAGATATTACCATTTTCAATTATTCCAACTATCCAAGTCTTATGTAAGAATATAAGTTGAATGTAATTGATTAATGAGCCTAAAAATTAATCAATTAGCAAATTTCACTAATCATCCAGATCTATTCAACAATATAATCTTGATGCAAGAAGTGAGAAAAATAATCAAAAAAGAAAAACCTCATTTCATAAAATACCAGGAAATCTACTTAATAATGCAATACTTAAAAATCCTCTGATTAATAATAATTTATAACATATACAAGTCCAAACTGAATTTTAAGCAATATCCTATCTACAACTTCACATTCTCAAGTGTCTGACTTGATGCAGTCTTCAGTTGTCCACGGTTTGTATCCTTTTTTATATACAAAAATTATGTACCTTTCCAAACATTTCAACATCAAACTCTTTTTACCAGGAATTTTTTAACAGTATGTTATATAAATCACAGTGTTAACTATACAAGTACTACCACAACAGTATGAAACATTTTGTGTAAGTGTGAATGAAAGAAAAAAAACAACACCATAATTGTCACCTGTAATACCCAAAGTTTTCGTGATACATTTATACAATGCAAACATGTAATTAAACTCCCAATCTGAAAATGCTATGCCTGGACTTTTGAAAATGACACAACTGAACTCCAAGCTTCTAGCTATAACCAATCTACAATTCCACATTCTCAAGTATCTGGCTTATACAGTCTTCAGTTCTCCATGTTCATACCATTTCCTATGTACAAAAATTAAGCACTTTTCTAAAGTAATAACAAGCATCATTTGAGCGAAAAATTTTAGTATTATTACTTAGAAACAAACCAAAACATAGCTTGTGTCATAGTACTATGCTCAAACCATATTGCCCAAACTTTTAAGTAAGTTAGCATCATGCATAAACAAGTTAGATGAGCTTGTCAAATGGGTTTCTAATAGAAAATAATCACTGCAACTACAGAATTTATGTTGGTCAAGTGCTGAAAAGTATTTGTATTGTTTTTCAAAGCTGTGCTTGAACTGAAACTAAGTTTTTAGTTTTTCATTACTTTAAAACATATAAGTGTCAGTTCAACAGATAATAATGAAGACTGTGGATTACTCAACAGAGGATATTGTATACAAAAGTTTAAAAAATAACCAAAGCCATTAGATGTCTTTATTATTCCAAATGTGGCCTAACAAGTGACCTCTACGTTGAAATTATAACCTCTTTAGACTTGTAGACTATTGTGTAGATACAACCTAAAATCCTATTTGCCCTACCACTAGCAACAGCACATTGCTTGGATGGCTATAGAGACTGATCGACTATTACATAAGATCCCTTTCCTTCATAACACTGTTAAGGTTATTCCTGTCCAAATTATGATAACCCATATGCATTATCTTGCATTTATTAGTTAAAACCCATTTGCCATTTATTTGTCCAACTTACTAAAT